TTTTTTTCCCTCCACAGTGTGACTTTGGCAATATATTACAACATAAAGCACAGGTGAGCTCTTTGAAACCTGTCTTGTTATGTCAGCTCATCACTTTGTGTCATATGAAACATGCTGTCAGGTCACAACTCTAGACATTATAAGCTATAGAGTGTTTATTTTACAGTGTTACAGTGAATCATTTGTGGGTTTTTTGGTTCGTAAGACTCTTGTAAATTATTAAGCGTTCCAAAGTGTATTTGTTTATGTCTTTGTTTGCAATTTATTTGTAAAGAAGCAGTGAAAAGATGCCCTAGCCTCACGCAAATATATAGTAGGAAAAAGGCATATTTTTAAAGTTTTCAGGTAACTGTGGATATTCTTTAACCCCACCAAAACTCCAGAAGTGCTAACTGATTAAAATAGTTATAGCGGGATTGTACATATCAATGAATTTGTTCACTAAAAGTCACTGATCTTTCTTGTACAATAAATGGATCTTTCCCCTTACTGGCTTTTACAATATTATGCATTGGCTACTTGGCTTATTTATAGTGTCAAAAACTCACTTTCATTAATATCACCACCATTATAAAAATGTCTTCAAATATGGAGATGCTGTCAAGCTCACAGTAGTAGGTATGAGTTTTCAAAGTCCTGATTTTTAGCTTGAAAGTTTTAGCTTTACTATAGACAAATACCTGTTATTTTCCTGGAAATGACGGACTCACTTGACTTAATTTTATGGATAATAATCAGTTATACTTTCAGATAAAAATGGCGTTCTGTGAAAAATTGGCTTGTTCAGCTCACAATTTAATCACAAGTGCTTTTCTTTAACATGACCATACTTCAGTATGCAGAAGTGCTTTATGTGAACTTTCTGCTTAGAATACTAAAAAGAGAGGTCAAGATTTAATAACACCATTAATTTTTACTGTTTCATCAAGGATGTTCTTCAGGGAAACATGCTACTTTAATAAAAACTGCAAGGGGCAGTGAAGAGTGGAATGAATACTGGTATAATTGGTACCACTGCCCTTATTCATACCGAGAAACCACCAGTTTTACCCACTTTTGCTTTCAAACAGTCATGACAAGTGTTGAACAGGGAGAAAGCAATCAATGTCTTAATACTTTAAAAAGTAATAAATTATTTGTGTGTTTTATTTTCAATCAGCTTCTCAGGTTGAATTAGGATTCTTGTAAGAACAGTTTGGGCCATACATGGTGGTTGACACCTGCAATCCCAGCAACTTTGGGAGGCCAAGGTGGGAGAATTACTTTGAATCAGGTGTTTGAGATCAGCCTAGGCAATGTGGTAAGACCCCATCTATCAAAAAATATATATATATATCAGCTGGGAATGTTGGTGTAGACATTTTTTCCCAGCTACTTGGGAGGCTGAGGCAGGAGGATTGCTTGAGCCCACGAAGTCAAGCCTGCAGTGAGTCAGGTTTGTACCACTGTGCTCCATCCTGGGTGAAAGAGCAAAACCCTGTAACAACAACAACAACAACAACAACAACAACCAGTTTCGACATCCTGGGTCTCCGAGGGAATCTCAGGGGTCCACAAACCACATTGGGAGAACCACTCGTTTCCTAAATGATCACACAATGTGTTAGTTTTTAAAGTTCATTAAAGACTGGCCTCTTTTAAAATACAAAGGCAATTAAGTCTGTAACTCAAACAACTTCAGCAAACATAAAGTATAATAAAGAAAGATTTGGGAAATCTTAATTGATTCTAAAAAGTTCTAAAATCTTTATTGCCAACAGCTACTGCTTTCTAAAATGTTCTTGTGTTCCACCATGAGGTTAGAGGAGTAAAAATAGATATAGCTTATTACCATTCCCTGTTAGCCGGAGTCAGTATTTAAAGGCAAGTCTGGCTCATCAATGTAGAAAAGACTTCCCAGTTCAGAACGTGATGTGCTGACGAAAAAGAGGTCAAGAAACCCTCTGAAGGCCAGGATCCAGGAGAAAAATTGGCAACAACTGTTTTGGTGAACAAATTTACCAAAACAAACAAGAAGTATCACTCTCCAACCTCCATGCCCTACTCCCAGCTGTTACTTTACTAAGATATTAACAATTGCTGAACTAATTTCTTAAATGCACATTCTTCTTTCATAGATATGCAAATAGATCTCTGGCTATTTTTGATGAGCCAATACATCCACTTTCAGTAAGTGTCACTTTTTCTGAGGTTCTGTTTATGTCTTACAGAGTTGTGTTTATTTCAAGATGAAGTCAAAATCGTCCACCATTAAGTCTTCGCTAAGTTGTGTCTAATCATCTTACGTAGGGAGTGTTGTAAATTGGACATACTGGAGTAAGAACTGACTTACAGCTGTATTTAATTTGAGCGCTAAGGGGAATAAACCTACCTTCCAAATAACAAGATATGTCATTTTTAAAGATAATATTTTATAGCAGCAAACAATATAAATATTTGTAAGTAGTCCTAACAAATATGCACAAACTCTGTGAATAGAATTAGAAAACAATTTAAATTTAAATTTGTTTAAATGCTATAAAAACTTAAAAACTTCCTTCTTCAGGCATATGATAGCCACAGGGCCACCTTAGCATTTATGTTCACAGAAAACCAAAAATATTTTAAGATCCTACTGTTTCCATTTTTAGAACTGAAAGACATTTTATTCCGGCAAAATTATTGTAAGGGACACATGGGCACAAATTTGAACATTCCCATCTTAAGAGTACTTAAGAAGTTTTCTTGAATGAATATTTATATTGCCTTTTTTCTTCTTTCAGCGAGAAAAGATTCCAGGGAAATCCTTTGAGGATGATCCCAAACGCAACTGCATTTTCAGATATTTCTGTAATCTTTTTAAAGTCACAAAACTAACAGTACCAGGTGCAATTGTAGCATTGGTAAGCTATTTCTTATCTATAAAGCATCTTGAATAACTGGTCTCCTACACAGTATATAGCTGTGTTTCTAAATAAAAGTAGGTTCCTAAAGTTATCATCAGATCTTTTAAGAGAAACCCGTGCAAGCAAAGTCAATACACATATTAGAGTTTAATCATTGTTATGTTTTAAAATGATGCCATTGCTTTTCTTATCACAGAGCAATTGCTACTAAAAGCAGCAGGAGAGACTTCTGATTTCTCCCTCAACAGATTCCAATGTAGGTCTAAGCTGAGTTCCAGGCTGTGTTTCCCCAGAGTTCTGACCTGGAGCTGCTGCTCTGAATGCTATGTTGTTCCTGGTGACCTCTTGTGCCTGCTCCGGAAATTGCCCAGGCATGTGGAACCAGTAAGACTTGGACATGGGCTTTGCTAGTTGGCCTGCCAAGCCATAGCTGTGTCCTTACCTCTACAGGGTTCTCACAGAATTCCTGTGTTGAGACTCATTCTGAATATAAAGTCCTGTTCAGATGGCTGGGATTGTTTGACCCCTCCCCACACTAACCTGTAGAGGAGTGTCAACCACACGGCCTGGAGAGAAAGGATACTTAGAGCAGTAGCCTCTCCTTTAGCATCCGGCTAGAGCTCAGGGTCAAAGGCTTCTGCTGGGCACCTGCATAGAAACCTCTCCGTGAGCACTGGATCAGATGCAGGCCATTTCATGGAGCTGCAGCCGTTGGGAATGCTCAGCACATGCTGGAGGGAAGCAGGAGTGGTACTTCCAGATGGAGAGAGAGAGAGCTGATGCAGGAGGGAAAGCTGGATTGGAAGAAGGGGGAGTTCACTGTATTCAGGCTAAATTTGGTGTGCCTGTGAGATAGCAGAGTGACGTGTGCAGTCATTATGTGAATCTATGGAACTGGAGCATGAATCTGAGCAGTGTGGTCATGATTTGGATGTATGGGACTGGAGCATGAATCTGAGCTGGAGGTAAGGAATGAAGAGTAAGAGTAGCTGCTCAAGGCGAGGCACGATGGCTCACGCCTGTAATCCCAGCTCTTTGGGAGACCAAGTTGGGCGGATCACCTGAGGTTAGGAGTTCGAGGTCAGCTTGGCCACCATGGTGAAACCCTGTCTCTTCTAAAAAATACAAAAAATTACCTGGGCATGGTGGTGGACACCAGTAATCCCAGCTACTTGGGAGGCTGAGGCAGGAGAATCTTTGGAACCTGGGAGGCAGAGGTTGCAGTGAGCCAAGATTGCACCACTGCCCTCCACCCTGCACAACAGCAAAAAAAAAAAAGAAAAAGAAAAAAGAATAGCTGCTCAAATGCAAAGAAAGTGTTTAGAATGAAAGTGGACAAGCCGGTCATGGTGGAACACACCGGTAGTCGCAGTGACCCAGGAAAAGGAAAAAAAGAGAAAATGGACAAAAGATAGCTTTGTAAAGACTACCAGCATGTGAGGGACAAGCCCCCAGTTAAGTGGCCAGAGTGGGAGGAGGAAGAGCAGGAAAAAATGATAAGAACAAAGGGTTCACGATAGGAAAGTCTGTGGTCACAGTGCTACATGCTGCCAAGAAGGTGCCCATTCCATAAACACCCCTGGGATGCCAACCCTGTGCCACTCTTCTAAGTGCTGGGGTAGAGAAGAGAACAGGCCCAGCACAGTCCTTGTCTTTATGAGGCATTTGTTTTAATGAGGAAAGCATTTCTTTTTTTAGGTAATGGCAAATAGCAAAATGATAAAGCAGGATACAGAGAGAGTGATGTGAGGGGCTCGCACTCTCAGAATGATCAGGAAGAGCCTCTCTAGAGAGGTCACATGTGAACAGTGACCTGACTACAAAGCAAGAATGATAAGGAGCTGGCATTACAGGCAGTGGGATGAGTGCCAAGAGAGACAGGAACACATTTCATGTGTGTTCACGGAACAGACAGCAGGGAGCCCGTGTGGTGAGAGAAATGAAGGAAAGAATGGAAAAGATGAGGCCGCACAGGCGGTGCCATCGCTCACCGGGCCCTTTGGCTTGCAGAGCAGGGGACGAAGTTAAGGTTTTATTCCAGTTTGAAGTGGGGACTAATGGTAGATCTTGAGCAGGGGAGTGCAGTGTTCTTAATTTAGAGGTTATCCCAACTGCTTTGGGGAGAGTAGACCACAGTTGGGAGGAGGGTTGGGGCAGAGAAAAGGACTAAGAAGCAACTAGGCTGTTCCAGGTGAGCCGTGACAAATGACAATCCAGAATCTGAAGCAGTCAGCCTGCCAGTGAAGGTAGCCATAGAGGGATTGCACACGGATTGGAGGAGGGTAACTCACATGTAAGTATTAGTCCCCAGGAGCTAGGCCAATGGCAATTCCCTGGAGAAGATTAGGGCCAGGTTGGGGAGTGGAGCCTTGGGGTGAAAGGCTCTGGTTTGTGGGTGTGAAGGCTCCGGGGACCTCGGCAAGAGGAGTCTAGGGTGAGTGATGGGGATGAAGGGTGGTTAAGGAGAGATGGGAGGTGAGCTGGCACCAGGGCATGACACTGTGAGCAAATAAGAGGATGCCCTGGGGGAGCTAGGGGGAACAGGATGGGAACAGGCAACACATTTGTATTGGGGAAAATCTCTGGCAGAGAGGGAGAAAGTCCTCAAGAAGAGGTGATTTGGGGAACAGTGTTCTGCAAAAGTGGGATAGGATCCATCATGCTGATAGAAGAGTCGGTGTTAAAAGAGGAACTTTCTCACTGACCCAGGAGGGCAAGTGGTATCGATGAGTGTCAGCAGGTCACCAGCTTACCAGGAAAGGTGACAGGAAGTTGAGGGCTCACGAGTGCTGTTTCAGTGCTCTCTAATGAGTCCTGTGGAGTTGAACCCTGGGAGGGAGGGTTATTCCTTGGATACCAGACAGTGCAGAGTTTTGGAGAAAGGGAGCAGCATCTCTCATAAGAACATGTCAGGTTCAAAGGCCATGTGATTTGGAAAACACAGCTGACTTTGGAGAACATGGCCAGATCTGAGCCGCCAATCTGATAATGTTCAGACAATAAATGAGCTCTCTTAAAATGAACTGTTTTCCTTTCACCTTGATACAAAGACATCAAGTAGCATAGAGTCATACTCTTCTACAGAGCACTGTCTGAGGTAGCAACACCTCACAGCTTATCTCTGTAACCTTCACTCAGCTGGTCCCTCACCCAATTCTTTAGAGGATGGAGATTGGATAGATAGAGAATACTTTCTGAAATACTTTCTGAGATTATCTCACAAACTGCTTGACAGGTTTAGAGGCACCCCAAGGATACAGAGGCCGGCAGCTCTCTCTGCCTTCAAACCCACAGAATTGACTGAATGCAGATACTGTAGGACAAAGGAATAAGTTTTCGTGAGGTGATTGTGGAGACATGGAAAATAGGGGCTGTGAGCAGGACCCTCCATTCATTCACATGCGTTCCTCATCAAGGCACTGAATACAGGGACTGTTTCTCAGCAACGGAAGCCTGCCCTTGTCATGCTGTCTGCCCTGCAGGCACTGGGAGACACTCTTGACCTGCAGTTCCTAAGCCTGTGTCCCAAGGGCGGGTTAGCTATTGTGAAAAGGAGAAGACAGCAGTGTTCTCAGTATGACTTGGGTGCTACACATTCGAGCATGGCACATCTGTAAAATTTCTATCTGCCTGCCAGCCAGATGTCACGCTGCACACGGATGGCACTGTAGTGTTTCCTGAACAACCTTAATCTGCACGAGGCCTGTGTCTGTGCTGCCTTTCATGAGTGTGAATGTGCTGAAGGTGCCTTTCTTCATGCTCACATCCCTGTGAATGAAATTGGCATGGAAATTTCTATGGGCAGAGTATGCTGCAGAGGTATCTGACTATGACTGTGACTTGGCCTCTCGCTTTGTCTGAGCAAAGTCCCTGCAGAACATAACAATAAAAGGCACTTACTTTATGGCCAAAACCGGAAGAAGTCTTTAATTCTTAAATGTTCTTACAACCGCACTGAAACAGAACTGAAATCAAAGACAAGTGCTCTATTTTGCAGGTGTACATTGAATGTCTTTTAACTAATGCTAACATTGATCTTTGTCCTACTAATTGGAAACAAATTGTCCTCGGAGCCATGCTCCTGGCCTCCAAGCTTTGGCGAAATCGTCATCTGTGGAGTGGGTATGACAGCCAGAATCCCAAGGATGCTGCAGTTGAGACAATGTGAGTTTCTAAGGTTTTGGCAAACTGTGTCATCATTTTCCATGCCTCATTTGCTCTCCAAGTTATCACTGTAAGAAATATCTTTACAGGTTTCATTGTGCCAATAAAGGAAATAGGCATAAGACCACAGACTTCAATCTATCCAGCTTTGGTATAACAGTTTATATTTTCCAGCATTAATGGGTAAGTCTTGATGTGTTATTGTTGTAATAACTGGCTGATAAACTGAAAAGTGTTTTTCTGATTGTTTTTTGGCCAACCTCTTACAAGTGTGCTGTCAGAATGACATAGTACAGTGAATATCTTTATAGTGTTTTAGAGGCCACCTGCCAGTTTCAGTCCCCTTTGAAGGGGCAAACATCTGGCTTTGAAATAATTGGCCACTGTTAAGGTCTTAAGGCCTCTGGACTATAAAGAAGTTACAGATTTAACCTAAGTCACCCATTGTGTATTTGCTTTTGCTGGTCCTTGTCTCCCCCTTTCATCTGAAGATCTGTTTTTATAGGAACCTTGAGATATGATGTTAAATAGCTACAGATTTCTGTGCCCTGGCTCCTCCCCATTGGGAACATTGCATGTGTTTGGAAATCGGTCTGATGAGTTAGAAGCTTCTGTGTTCACCTCCCGCAGTGTGAGAAGGATTTCTGGGGCATCACCCCATGCCCACCGCACTCACAGGCTCCCTGGGTACTCAGACATTCACAGAAGCAGGCTGGGGCCAGTAGTTGTTTATGAGTATGTGGGGAGCCTTGCCGGATCGTGGGGTTCCTCCCAGATGCACCAACATGACACTGAAACACAGCTTCCCCAGGGTTCCCTTCCAGTTTGGCCTTACGACTGCTGTGAAGTGAAGGGCCCTGCAGCAGGCAGGCAGGGTGAGCAGGGGGGCATTTCCAGCAGATCCGCCCTGGGTGCCCACTGGACAGTGAGGACAGCTGTGTCAGCTCCATCTGGTGCAAGCCGAGGGAGCAGCTCTTGTTTACATTGAGCAGCAGCAGAAAAGATGATGCCAGGCAGCGGCACAAGTTAGTTTTGTTATCTGTGCCCGTGACTCCAGATAGGACTGTTACTCAGAATCACCTCAGTGTATGTCTACAATTGAAGATATAGCATATATTGCAGATATACTGCAGTGTCTATATAGCTACATTCAAAAATAACCACTTGGCGCCTCAGCTCAGTGGCTCATGGCTGTGATCCCAGCCCTTCAGGAGGCCGAGGCGAGTGGATCGCTTGAGCACGGGAGTTCAGACCTGCTGGGTAACACAGTGAAGCCTGTCCAAACAAAAACATTTTTTAAAAGTTAGCCAGGTGTGTTGGCAGGTGCCTGTAGTAGTCCCAGCTACTTGGGAGTCTGACCTGGGAGAATTGCCTGAGCCTGGTAAGTTTAGGCTGTAGTGAGCTGTGATCACGTGACTGCACTCCAGTCCTGGGTGATGGAGCCAGACTCTAAGACACAAACAAACAAACAAAAAACATTTTTGCCATTACTTTGCTAATAGTAAAAACCAAGTGATCATTGTGATATTTATGGTAGCCATTTTAGCACAGAGTGTGACAGCAAAGGATTTTGAAACAAATGGAAGTACTTTGAAAGTTGCAAATGCTAACATGAGTTTAATCGTAGTCATCCATTTGCAAACTGGTCCCTCAGAGGAAGCAAGATTTGTGACTGCCTGATTTCTCCTTGCCTGCTGCCTAGCCAGAGCTGATTTATCAATACAGGATAATTGCAATAGAGAAAGAGTTGAATTCATGCAGAGACAGCTGTACGGGAGACCAGAGTTTTACTATTACTCAAATTAGTCTCTCTGAAAACTCTGGGATGGTTTTTTAAAAGAATAATTTGGTGGGTAGGGGGTCAGAAAGTGGGGAGTGCTGATTGTTTAGGTCGGCGATGAAATCACAGGGAGTTGAAGCTGTCGACCTGCATTGAGTTGGCTCCTGGGTGGGGGCCACAGAACCAGATGAGCCACGTTTATTTGTTAGGGTGGTGCCACCTGATCCCAGTACAAGGTCTGCAAAATATCTCCAGCACTGATTTTAGGTTACACAATAGTGATGTTATTCCCAGGAGCAATACGGTGAGGTTCAGATTCTTGCAGCCTTCAGCCTCATGACTCCTAAGCCACAATTTCATGACTTGTGGCTAATTTATTAGTTCTGGAAAGGTCATCTATCTAGTCCCCAGGTGGGGAAGGGGTTTGTTTTGGGAAAGGGCTGTTACCATCTTTGTTTCAAAGTTAAACTACAAACTAAGTTCCTTCCAAAGTTAGTTTGGCCTCTGCGTAGGAATGAACAAGGACAGCTTGCAGGTTAGAAGTGAGATGAAGTCAGATCAGCCCTCTTTCACTGTCATAATTTTCTCAGTTATAATTTTTGCAAAGGTGGTTTCAAATTTGTAATCATGAACACTTAGTTCTGCCATTTTGGGAGCTGAATTGTTCTCAAAACCTGCAGCTAAGCTGGCTGGGGCTCTGATTTCTAGTCACAAGATCAGAGAGCATGCAGAAATATGTGCAGGTTTCCACAGAAGTGAGCTCCAGGAGCAGTGGAGGCAGAGGCCAGCCCCAAGAAGACCGGCTCCAAACAGAGCCGTTTGTGTGAACGGTGAAACACTAGGAGCTATGCTCTGAACAGGCTGCTTCTGTTTATGATCGTGGGAAGCTGAAAAGCATTACGTCTAAGCATTTAATAGACATGTGTCTCACGCTACTGCTGTTGACTGTTTGCAATGATCCCATTTTGAGTGTCAGTTTAAGAGAGAAAAAACTGCTGTCCATTAGATTTTTCTTAAACTTTCCAACATCGATGTGTCTCCCTAGAATATATTTTCTTTCTAGAGAGTTGAACTGAGTAGCCAGTATTCAGAAATGCTGTGTTGTAAAGGGTATGCTATTCAATTATCTGTTTAAAAAACCAGAAATCCCAGAAGATGCATAGTCTGTACACAGAATTCTTTTCTTCAGTGATTAGACCTCTATTAAT